GACCTGAGAAGGGGGAGAGTAGGGAGAGGGGGTCAAAGGGTAAAAAAAGGGGGCACCTGTAATACTTTCAACAATAAACATAAATTAAAAAAGTAAAATATAAAGAGTACTTTTAGTCAGTATGCTAAGCTTTACATGGCTTTCCTCACGTACTCCACTAAACATCTTCATTTTACAGATGAAGAAGCCAAAGATCAGAGACAAGTGAACCTACCTAAGGCTACAGTGTAGGAGCTGGTAGAAGAGCTGATTGGTTTTGGGCAGCGAGAGCCTACCTTCTGCAGTGAGGTGTGCAGAGTTCCTGATACCTAGTTTGCACTGACATTCCTTTGGCCTAGTTGTTCTCAGCCCTAAGGCTCATTAGAAAAATTCAATGAACAAGATAAACCGATGAACAAAATAGATCCACAGACCTAGAAGTATGGAACAGACTGTCCAATCTCAGTGGAAAGGTGGGGTTGGTTGGGTGGGTGAGAAGAGATCCACCAAAGAAATTGTATGTATATATGCATAATCCATGGACATGGACAATAGGGTGATGAAGGCCTGGGGTGGGGGTGGGGGCAGGGACAGGCTATAAGGGGTCAATAGTTCTCCTATTGACGTATCTAATACTTTAAACAATAAAGATTAAAAGAAAAAACATTAAAGGATCCCCCCCAAAATGCAAACATCCAGTCCCTCTTCAGATCAATAACCTGGAAATGAGGCCCAAGTTATTCTACTCTGCAGAGAAACTGGCTGAGAACCTACCTTTCTTTCTTTCTCCTTTCTTTCTTTCTTTCTTTCTTTCTTTCTTTCTTTCTTTCTTTCTTTCTTTCTTTCTTTCTTTCTTTCTTCCTTCCTTCCTTCCTTCCTTCCTTCCTTCCTTCCTTCCTTCCTTCCTTCCTTCCTTCCTTCCTTCCTTCTTTCTTTCTTTCTTTCTTTCTTCTTTCTTTCAATATATTTTATTGATTTTTCACAGAGTGGAAGGGAGAGGGATAGATAGCCAGAAACATCGATGAGATAGAATCATCGACCAGCTGCCTCCTGCACACCCCCCACCAGGGATGTGCCCACAACCAATGCAAATGTCCTTGACCAGAATCGAACCTGGGACCTTTCAGTCTGCAGACCGACGGTCTATCCACTGAGCCAAATCGGTTTTGGCAGCTGAGAACCTCTTTCCCCCAACCTCCCTCCCCACATTATTTCTGATCAGCTTTAATAGTTATGAAGTCAATCATTTCTGAAGTAAAAGCTTAATTAATTAATAATCCACTCATTTAAAATTTGTGCCAGTTTGTATGGGCTGGGCCAAAGTTTACCTTTGCAGAGGATTTGTGAAGCAAATTAATATATTACACAGGAGCATAAGGGAAATATTTATCCTACTAAAGAGCACCAATAGCTTTCAGCCATCATAGAAAGCTATATTCATTTAAACAAATTGATTGGTGAATTTGTTTGGAGGTCATTTTCACATCCATTAAATAAGCTCGTTAAACACTGTTAACCCACAACGTTTTATTAGCCTGCTTGATTACTTGATTTTAAAAATTGTTTCTAAGAAAAATATTCTGTAACTAGGGATCCAGTGCACTAACTGATGCAACTTGAAAGGAACTGTGAGCTGCTAGGCTGTGTTAAGCACAGGGGTAGGTCTTGGCCCATCCTCCGAGCCTCCACCCAGTTCCTCCCTGTGTCTCCCCCTCCCCCGGTTCCCTGTCTGCTGGCAGCCCTGTTCCTGCCACCCCCATTCACACCCACTGAAGACATGGAGTGATTGGGACCTGTGCCAGCAGTGGGTGCGAGTGGCGGCTGCTGCCCTGATCACCCCTCAGGAGCGGGAGAGGTGAAGAAGCCCTCAAGGGTGATTAGGGCCAGCAGCCACCGAGTGTAGATCAGTGATTATTAATGGGATGATTCTACCTCCAGTGCATGTCATAGCGACCGTGTTGTTCTGGTTGTTCCTCCATTCCATCTATTTGCATATTAGCCATTTATCATATAGGATTCTAAGTTTTGATGCAGTCAACTTGTATTCTCCTTACCTTTAGTTGAGGTTATTGCCATTACGATGTGCTCTAGTCTTCCTGAGTCATTTTATAGCTAGGTGCTTTGGCCCCATGAGATTTCAAATTTCTTCAAAGCAAGGATCTGGTCTCTTACTTTTTTAGTATCCATGTCCAGTTTTGATGCTCTGTGCCTTGTAGGTGCTCTATGAATGGGTGCTTTGGACCAGGCAGTGCCCACTTGAGCAAAACAAAACTTCAGTTGAGGAAAATTCAGGTGGCATACAGCCTGCGGCATTAGGAGGCTGGGCATACTCATATGTGCTGTTTAGGACCAGGGGTTGGCTCATGTCTGAGCGGCACCAGTTGTTACACAGTTGAATTTTACTCCTTGGAAGATGTATGAGCTCCTGCTATGCAAATGATAATTCCTTAAAGTGTGTTGGGTCACAAAATAGGGAAGAAAGAGAGAGACTGTACCTGGTCTACTGCTGTCAGTTTTATGCCTTTAAGAAAGGCAAACAGGTGAAGTAGTTAAGAGCCAAGATTCTGACATCAGTGGGCTTGGATTCAACAAATGGTTCTGTCTGGCCTTAGATAAGGCACTTATCTACTCTGAGTAATTCTTCATCTTTAAAAGGAGGTATTGTGAGGATTAAATGAGTTAGCTTATAAACATGATTGGGATAGTGGATGGCCAATTGAAAAACCTCAAAATAGGTTACCTTTTACTATTACTTTAAAATGGAACTAATGAGTTTAGATCAGTGATTATTAACAGGGGATGATTCCACCTCCAGCGACGGGCGACAATTTTGGTTGTCACAGTGTAGTGTGACAGCCAAACTTACCCACTGTTAGTGGATAAGAGGCCAGGGATGCTGCTAAACATTACACAAAGCCCAGGACAGTCCGCGGAACAAATAACTATTTGGTCTCCAATGTAAATGTGTCAAGATTGAGAAGCCCTGGGTTAGCCTAATAACTGTAAGTGAAGTTAAATTAGCCAAGAAATATTTTGTTTATTTTATTGAATGTTTAGATAATGTTTACATATTAAATTGCTCTAGTCCCATGGTTGACAAATTGCGGCTCGCAAGCCACATGCGGCTCTTTGGCCCCTTGAGTGTGGCTCTTCCACAAACTACCACGGCCTGGGCGAGTCTATTTTGAAGAAGTGGTGTTAGAAGAAGTTTAAGTTTAAAAAATTTGGCTCTCCAAAGAAATTTCCATCGTTGTCCTGTTGATATTTGGCTCTGTTGACTAATGAGTTTGCCGACCACTGCTCTAGTATATCAGGGGAAGGCAGGTCATGAGGATAAGTGTTTTACCTGGGACTTGACTCACTGTGATGACTGGGGAAGAAGCATCCCTCTGGGAGAGGCAAAGGAAGCTGCCTGTTGGGAAACAGTACAGCCAGGACATAAGAGCTGGTGGGATTTGCCTGAGACAGCCACGGGGATTAAGTTGCTAACAGCATGTTCTGGAGCTACTTTATAAAGAAGCATTTAGGTAGTGGGGGAACTTTTGTTGCCTTTAAAAATAAAGCTAAAGGTGTGTATTCATTAGCACAGAAAAATACAGGTCTTGCAAACTATAGGGTGTATTAAGTTAAAGTTATTTGGAAATAACCTCCAATCCACAGCTGACTGTACATCGCCTGCTGTGCTAACGCACACGAGGTTGGTCCCTTCTGTGTTGCTCAAAGTGAGCAAGCTTGAGCACTGGAGAAGGCGTAGTGGCACTTTTCATAGTGAGTTGAATTCAGGTTTTGCCCTATATTTTGCTATAAAGACAGCTGGTTTTGAAGACTAGTGTTAAAATGATCCCCAGTGTCCTCCAATGTGAGCAGTACTCACAAAATATTAAATACACATGCATTTAATTTATCATGTAGATATTTTAAAACGCGACAATATTCTTTAGCATAGAATCCAACCTCTTTGTCCTGGCATCCCAGGCACTTCACAATTATATCCCAACCTGTGTGTTGAGCCTTGTCTCCCACCATATTCCTCACCCAAACTGTGTTATCCTTAGACTAGAGTGATGACAATATGCAGTCAGCTTTAGAGGATGTTTTTCTGTCTTCAGTGATAACAAGTCTTGCTCCCAGATATCTCGCCTGGCACAGAATAGGTACATTTCGTGATTGTGTCATAGTAGCTCCCCTCATTGAGCACGTACAGATGCACCATGCGTGATGCCTCCCCATCTTTGTGCCTTTATTCCTTCCTCACACAAGAAGGTTCTTCTTGTTCTCTTTTAAATACGTTTTTATTGATTTTAGAGAGAGAGGAGAGGAGAGGGATAGACGGTCGAAATACCAATGAGAAAGAAACATCAACTGGCTGTCTCTCGCACGCCCCCTATTGGGGACCAAGCCCACATCTTGGGCATGTGCTCTGACTGGAATAGATCTGACCATTTAGTTCATGGGTCAGTGCCCAACCAATGAGCCACACCAGCTGACTTCTTCTCTTTTTAAAAATCTATCCTAAAACCTCCTTCAAGAGATCTCTTTTTCCTTCTTCAACCCCCAGTCCTCTCGAAATAATTTTTTTCCTCTTCAGGAACCCAAAGGTCTGTATTCTTTGGTTTGCCTTTCATTAGAGCTGGTCACACCAGTACCCTTGTTGCTGTCTTGTACGAAGCTCAAGGTAAGGAGCCATGACTGTACATCCTTCCAGCTGTCCCAGAGCCTTTGCACACACTATGTACCTAAAAGTCCTGACTGAATGACTTAGTGGACCTTCCTCTTGTCAACAACTGGAGGTTCTGTTAACTATCTTGCTATTTACTTTGAGATGAGTCTAAGAAGATTAAGTCTAAGTGAGGGTGGGTGTTGTGTCTATAATTCTATTTTGTAGCTCTTTATCTACCATAAGACAAAGGGCATGTCTAACTGGCAAATAATTGGTGCCTTGACTTGCTGTTAGGAGGCTAATGCTTCTTTATAGGTATTTTTTGTTGTGTGAAAGACAATCGATGACCCTCAAAGCGTCTATTCAGTGAGTGATATAAAAATAAATGTCTGGACATGAATTCAATATTGATATCAGCATTTAAGTCATTAAAATCTTTTTTTTTTAAGCATCTATTCAATGAACTGAATCAGGAAGATAGATGGAGTTAGTCTTTGCATTAGTCAGACAGCAAGTTTTCACTGATATATAGACTGAGTGGCCAGATTATTATGATCTCTGAACACATAATAATCTGCCCACTCAGTATATATTAGAGATCTGGTGGGTGAATTTGTGTATGGATGGGGTCCAGCCAGCCTGGCCAGGGCTAGGGGACATGGGTGATTGGCCAGCCTGCATGCTGGTCAAATGCCTGGTAAAGGGGACCTTTTATTATATAGGATATACACTGAGTGGCGAGATTATTATGTGTTCAGAGATCATAATAATCTGGTGACTCAGTATATATAAATCTTAATAGTACAAAAAGGTAAAATGGAGGGCAAAGCGATTCCTCTAGAAATGGAAGTAGCCTGAATAAAGGTAAGTGGGAAAAGTTATGTGTGTCACAAGGCCTTTCAGGTTAACTTAGAGGTATGGTGCCCTTAGATTACTAAAATCTACCACTGAGCATACATTATCTGCTCTGTGCTTGATGCTTGGGAGAGTAAGACCAATTTCTATATGGCCCCTGCCCGTTAGGGCTTTATGCTCTAGTGCAGGGGTGGGGAACCTTTTTTCTGCCAAGGGCCATTCGATATTTATAACATCATTTGCCTAATATAAATTTATCTTACTATGAAAAAAGCTCCTAGATTTATTAAATTTTTAGTCTCACCTGCATTTGGTCAGCAGGGCCAGACCAAATGATTTCATGGGCCTCATATGGCCTGTGGGCCGGATGTTCCCCACCCCTGCTCTAGTGGCCTGGCAAACTGTTTCTAAAAGGACCAGATAATAAACATTTCAAGCTTTTAGGCCATTTCATCTCTTGCAATTATTCAATTCTGCCATTGTAGCATGATAGAAGCAGCCATAGACAATGCATAAAGTATGACTCTGTTCAAATAAGACTTTCTTTACAAAACTGGCAGCAGGGTGTAGTGCATGTCCCAGTTTGTTGATGCCTGCTCTAGAGTGTGGCTGAGTGTGTGTGTATGTGGTATGTGTATAAAACCAGTGTTGGAGTGTGTGCTTTTTACTGCAACATTGTAGAAATGCTAATGGATGGAGAAAGCCGGGCCAGAGTGACAGAGGAGGGGCTTGATGAAGGAGAACCATTGGTCTCTGTGATCACAGAGTTTATTCATAAAACTTTGTAGAAGTTTTATCCAGCCCACTTTTCTACCAAGAAAGTTGTTTGTAAAGTCATTCACTCTTTCATTTATTCCACAAGCATTTGCTAAGTGGTCATTATACACAAATGTTCATTCTAGCTTTTTCAAGTATCATAATTGTACATATTTTAATGACTTAGTTTACACATTTAGTATCTTTGAAGTTGGGATGCGTCTTACACTTGATGGTGTAATTATCACACAGTTTTTCTTTCTCTTTGGATATAAATTAAGATGCCTTTACAATCAACAGTGGCTCAGAGTCTGGAGAAATATGGTAGATGTTTTAGTACTGCCTTACATATTTTCTAGAACAGTGCCATTTACTTTAGATGTTTTAGTTTTTACATGTACACTTGCTAGACCGAAAGAACATTTTAAGTAAAGATTCAAATGCTTTAAAAAACAAAATAAAACACCAACTAGTCCCGTAAGTCCTGACAGAGATTAGTTACTTTACATGTCCCAGCTAATGTTCTGTTAAATAAACTTCTCATGTCAAGCATGGCTTTTTCTGTGCTCTTTGATGCTTTTGGCTTGTTTCAGAGATTTTCTTTATAAAGATAAACTATGGACAAAAATACCATTTTGTGGCCCAGTGAGAAACCTGGCCATAGCCCTCTGTGTCTGTTACCTATAGCTTTCCCTTTGTTAGAAGCACAGAACTTGAGAACAGGTGTTGGAATATTTGTGTTTTCCCCCAGTTTATCTCATTTTCATTTCATTGCTCTCAGAGTTTCTGAAACTATGAAGTTCTTTATGCAGAGCTGGCCTAATTAGGAGAGCTTGGGAAGGTTTGTAAAAGGTTTAATGTTCCCTCTCTTTCCTGTCTATATAAATCAATTAAAATGGGCTATGAAGAAACTCACACTCCAGTTGTGTGTAACCTCAGCTTTCATTGCCATGTGCTTGTTTTCTGCGTTCGGGGAGGAGGTTCCGCTGAACTGTAGTTATGATTTACAGTAGCCAGAGAGACATTTCAACCAGTCCCGTGATATATAGGGATCCGACATAATATAGAAACGTTATTTATGCTTCTGATCAGAAGGGGAACGCTGTTTCCTATATTGTGCTTATGGTTTAGGCATTGTGAATAGTAAGCACATCTGTCTTTGTAATTAGTATAAAGAATCAGAAAAATGAAAAATTCAGATTGGTATGTCACAACTGACATCTCTAGATATTTTTAAAGTTAATGCTTCTAAGTAATAATAGCAAATACTCCTTCGTGTGTGTCTTGTTGGGCTCCTTTTTGGCCTGGCTTTATTTATTTGTTCTCTTTAAAATTATGGTTTAAATGCTGAGTCTCGAAATAATCTCAGCATAGTCTTTTCCTCTTGTGTATTTTAGGGAAGGTCTTCCGCGTAAGAACGTGTTTAGATATTAATTGCCAATTGATCATTAGAGAGCGATAAACCGTGATTCTTATACCACATGGAGAATTTTACAGTGTGGTATTTGCGGTATTTTGTGTGTATGTATCCCTAAGCATTTCCAACCGTGGTTTTTACTTAATGGCATTCTTTTTATAGGGCATGCAACCCGAGAGGTAGGAAAGGGCAAGCCAGAAGTTGCAATTCATTCAAAGATTTCTTCTTGGAATAACACTGGAAAAATAAATTTTACTTTATTTCCCCCCCCTCCCCCCAACATCTCAACTTGTAATTTTCCCCTTGCTTTACCTTAAGGTATTTAAGTGAAAAGTGTGACATTGTAGACAAGGAACCTGAGGCAGGATGCCCCTACCATTTCTGGGCCAGTGCAAGCGCTAATGGAGACCCACAGACCAAGTATCTAAATGAGCTAGAGGGCTGTGTGAGCCAGTCCTGCCTGCCTGTCCTCCTGGGGCAGCAGCCAGTGCCTGGAGGCTGCAGGAGCCTCCCTCTCTCTAGTGCTCGTCCTTGGAGCAGGGCAGGGTGGGAGCTGGCACAGGCCCGAGATCTCTGAGCCCCCAGTCCAAAATGGGAGTGACCTGCCCAGCTCCCCAGAGAGGTGGGTTTGGCAGGCTCTCCACCTATACACAATCTTTGTTTGATCAGGGCCTTCCAGAGGGTTCTAAGTGCCTCTAGGTCCATATCCTCTGAGCTGGGGGAAGGGAGGAAGGGAGGGAGCAGCGTTACGGGGGAGTCTAGTAAACCTAGACACCCATTTAGTCCTTGGTAAGGGCAGAGGCTGTATTCATCTTCTCCAAGGTTCTCAGATCAGCACCCTCTGCCCTGGGGGCCAAGTTCAGCTAAGGAGTCCTTCCCATTGGCTCAGGTGATTACCAAATAAAAACAAAACTTCCTTAACGATTGAAAGTAAAATAATTCATTTTGAGGTTTGTCATGTGCCTGGCCCAGGGCAAGGGCCCCTCGGTCTAAGTCTGAGAGGTTGAGGGGCTTGGACAACATTATGCAACTAACTGTGCAGGCATGGCGATAGCTTCGTCAGAAACTACACACTTGTCCCGCCTATGTTGTAATTTACAAACATGCTTGCTTCTGATAATATGCAAGAAGAGGAAGGAAATGAAAAGGTAGAGCTCATTTAAGTAAGGCATTATTCACATTATCGTTTTCCCATCTTAAGTTTTCTTTCTTTCCCATCTTACGTTCCTGAAGTTTTAGGAACCCTTATAACTCACATGCACGTCGTGACTTTGGAAGAAAGGAAAGCTATTAGAACATTCTCCTGTGAGAAATTTTCCATTTCTTAGGGAATTCAGGTGTGTGAATCACTTCCTTCTGTCCCATCATAGGAAAAAAAGCAAGCAACATGACTTTCTAGTCAGCCGAGGAGGCTGGATTGGCATTTTCCAGGAAAGACTGCTTATCATGGAGCAAAGCTCTCTTCTTAAATGGATTTTTGCGTAGGCCTTACAGCAACAGTTTGCAGATGTGGACAGCATTCCCAAGGAAAGATTTTTACAGTGACTGACATCCCCGAAGCCTTCCCAGAAAAAGGAAAATGTGTCCTTTCTTAATTTCACTGTGCGATTTCCCTGATCAAAAGGCCCATTTATCTGGGGTGGCACCTGAAAAATAAATTCTTTAACAAGGTTGCTTCACAGCAAAGATGAAAGTACAAGCAACGAGTAGACAGGCCAACTGGAAGGGCTCGAGCGTGGAGGATTTTGTATTTTTTCTTGCAATAAACACATGTGGAGTCCAGGAAGGGTGATGCTGTCATCCGGCGGCGTGATGGAGATCCTCGCCGATGCTGGAAGAGGACCAGGCAGGGACGTGTAAGATGCTGCTTTAGGTGCCGGCAGGTATTTTGCGGGTGCGGGAGTCTGGTGATGGGAATAAAACCTTCGATCTTGTTGGGCTCCAGGATCTGTGAGAGGGAAGTTGGGTTTGTCTTTGCCTCCAGTGCTGCCCCTGGATTTCCTCTGAGGTCAGTGGAAGAACTGCCCGAGAGCCGGTTCCCCTCCCTGGAGGCTGCATATGTCCACTCGCCTTGATGTTTTCCCCAAGGCATGTATTGGTTGTTCTTCTAACACCTATCACGTGTCTATTTTTACATTGATGGTAGGGATTACGCTGATTTACATGTCTTGCTTTACCCCTGAGCTGTGAAGCTTTTTAGGCCATCTGTTTTTCTCTGTATTTCCAACAGAACCAATGAAGGTTCAGAAGTAGTTGTCATGGAGTTGCATGGAGTTAGTTGTCATTTGGTTGCATGGACCAGGAAAAGCAAAGTCTCCTCATTGGAAAGATTAGAACAGCTTCTATATTTTTATATGACTGAGGGTCCAAAAATGCATCAAATAATAAATAGGCCCCAGTACCTGA